TAATAATAATAATAATAATAATAATAATAATAATAATAATAATAATAGTAATAATAATAACAATATTAATTATCATATATCTTATGAATATCGTGTGATATATTATAATTGAATTACGAACAAAAGTCATCCATATTTGTATACCGTTGTTTGACACTTTAAGTTGGATTGCGTAAGTATATCACATGTTTATAAATATCTAATCTAACCATTTAAACCGTTTAATTTTACTGACGTTGGATAAGGAAATAAAATATACATAATACCGAAAATGGCGAAATATTACAAAGCCTATTTAAACACAATCACCGCGGCCTTCGAAAAATAATAATGTTAAAGTAATAAATCAACTGTATTAAAAAGGATGTCGACTGTACGGACAAAATAGAAACGGGTTATAGTAGACGTGGACGATGATAATAATATTAGTAATAATAATAATTAAAATATAAATATGTCTGTGAACGGAACCGGTTCGACGTCGGTATATTACACTCAACATGCAAAACGCGGTTCCCTAGACCGAGGCGCACATGGTTATTTGATCATGGCCGTGAAAACGGAACGTATTTTTCTGTCGTCTCCGCGACTTCTTCGGATCATACGTTCGTGTATTGTATGCATTCGGGCAATGAGTGTGACCACGTGCCGTCGGCCAGGCACACGGGTGGGCTGGCTTCAAGTGGAAGTGGTAACACGTACCCGGCTAGGCATGTGATCTTCAGCTTGTCCCCCGGCGCGTACCAGAACTTCAGCGGGATGATGCGTCCGTTGGATGGCTCTCCCGGATACTCACACCTAGCTTTACCTGCGAAAAACAACGCGAGCGAGGTTAGTTTTCGGACCTGATTCATTTAAGTAAATAGCTGTACCGATGTTCATGTTAACAATGAAAACGCTGACTATATAGTTGGTACAAAAACAATACTATTAAACGTTACAATCGAGTTCCCGCGTGTGTATAATTATCGGTTCTTCTAATGATAATGGCTTCACAAATGTTCTAACTGGCTCTGACCGCCAAACATAAGCGTACAAGTGCACGACCACCACGGCGAATCGATAACGAATCAATGATTTATGTAATAGTTTAAGTACCGGCGAATTCCGACAAAAGCCCAGTACAATCGATTGGTTCTACGGAACGCACAAAAGTTTGAACGTTTATCACAATTTTTCATGAACGCTATAATTCGTTTATTATACCTCCAAATACAACCGCCGTCTGAAGTTTAATTGTTTAAGTACGTTTTATATCGTCTTAGTGTATTTGAAAGTTGATCGTTAACAGTTCTATAGTATAATAGTTAATATCAAAATGTAAAGCCCAAAGAATACATTTAGGTAATGAAAGGACTTATCATAGTAAAAACCGTATAAATATAATATGTATGTGTGAACGTGAGCAGTCCACAAATACTGTGAGTCACCAATTAAATATTTATATATATATTTATACATTTATTGAACTAAAAATTTGGATAGCAAGGTTTCTTACATACAAATATTCTGTTATTCTTAAAATTATCCTTTTTTTTACTTTAAAACCCGTATACTATTCTGATAAATAAATTGCAACATTTATAGTATGCATTTAAGTAATTTGGTTTTCTTTAACAAAAAATATGAAATATACGTTTAAAAATTTCATAGATTCGAATATTTATTCAGATTAAGCAGGTATACTAAATTTGACAAATCCGATTTTCCGTATCCAATCATTTACGACTGATATAATACACAACATTTTTAATACGTTTTATCGCGCAGTGATTTAGATGTTTACATTCATGTAGCTTGTAAACATATTATAACATCAAATATATTTAGATACAACCTCGGGGTATAGGAATATAAAATTTATTACCTGTCTACTGAATAATATAATACTGCATACAAAGAAAAACGTCCACTGCATATATTTTATCTCGCAAAATATGAAAAAATATATATGTTTATATATAATTAAACTTGTAACAAGGAAAAAAGGTATTGTGCAAAGAATAAAAAATAAAAATATTGCAAAAATATCTAAACATATGTTTAATCGAAAACGAATTCGTCCAACGCTGAAACCTAATAAGTGATTTTTATACGAATCCGCCGGACTAACTATATAATATTTTTCGTAATTTGTACTCGAATTCCGCTGTTATAAATAATATATAAAGTATAAGAAGAATATTAGTATTACTCGAAAGTGGTCTATTTTTTGAATGAGTAGTACTTATGACGGTTTACGCGAGTATTTCGTTTGTAAATTCGTACGTTTTATATTATTTTTATTCATATGTTTATCTTATTACGAAGGATATAATTCACGTAACCGTGATGGAAAAAAAAAATATATATATTTATGTAATTTTATAATATTAAGTGCATACGTTTGAGTGTGTACGTTTCAGCGTGTGAGTACATTAAATAACGTTTTCCATGCGGTGGAATAAATCTTAGGTATATTTTATATAAACATATATATATATATAAATCTAGACGCGCGATAAGCATATTACAACATTAAATGAAATGTAAACAATAAATCTTTAACCAAATTTAAAAGCAAATGCGTGCTCACAGTACGGAGTGGAGTGTGACCAAGTGCCATTTTCGGTGCACACCATGCTGGGTTTGCCGATCAGCTGATGTTTTTTGCCGCAAGAAAACTGCACGACGGATCCGACGACATGCCGTCCCGGCGCCGAGTCCTCAATCAGGAGGCCGTTAAGCGGCACTATCGGAGGTGGACACAAGATTTCTGGAACACATTGCGAGAAAAAACAATAATAATAATAACTTGGTTAGCTGATATTAGAAAAGGTTTAAAAATAAATCAATACATAGATTGTTATTAATAATACGGCACAAAACATACGCGATACGGCAATAATAGTGCAGTAAAACATTTTCCGTCAGAATATTTAAAAAATATTTTAATTTTAACATAAATTAAATTTTGCCATTGGATTAAATATTCAGTGCAATTAGTAGTATATGAAACTTCAAATACCTATGTACATAAGGAAATGTCGAACAATTAATGAAGAATGTTGAATAAAAATAGTGAAAATTCTAAGATATTTGTTAAGAGTTCAGTATGAGATTATATTATATTTTACAATCACAAAGCATTTATTTTAAAATTTAATAATTTTTTAATTTTTTTCCTATATTTTATAATTCTGTAGAATAAAATAAAAATTTAAGCTTGAAATGAAATTAACAAAATAAAATCATTTTAATTTGTTCAAATTTAACTTTTTAGTTCGTTAGAAAAGTATAAACATTTTTAAATAGCTCGTTTATGGGAAAAAATTGAATTTTTCCTGTTAAAAAGATAAATATGTATTTATTTTACTTGAAAAGTTTATAAATAATAATATATTGAAAAAAATTGATAATAATACGATCCAAATCATCATTTAAATAAATAATACTCAAGCTTATTAAATTATTGATCGCCTTTGAAAAGGGTATTTATTTTGTGGTTAGTACATCTGCATGTATAATACAATATTTTAATATTCATAATTAACATATTATATCATATTAAACATAATAATTTTTTTTTTTATATGTTATCCTTCTAAATCAATTATGAATAACCCTGCGTTAAATAACTTAAAATACTACTTGTAAAAGTTTAGAAGGTTATGAATTTATGATAATAATACTCCGTTTATTTTAATAGTTTTATACAAACATTATTTCCTTATAACGTCATATTTCTCTAAATCTTTAATTATTTTTGTTAAATCTAAGAAAATAATCTGACGGCGAAATGTATAGACAATAATGGTACGTAGCTGTTATAGGTACCGATGATACAGTTTAATTTTTTTTTATTTTGCCTTCGTTTAACACATTATAGAAAAGTAATTAAGTGAAAATAATAATACTCTTGCATAAAAGAAAACTAACTTCTAGTCAAATTGAGAAAATTAAGAAATTAATGAATTTAATAATGGAATGGATAACAAGAATGGAGTGAAATTTAAGGAGGAGATTAGTGTCGGGAGTGATACAATCAAAAGAAGATATGAAAAAAAAAAAAAGTTGTCAGCTAGGAGTTAATTAGCCGTTCTTGAATTATAAATTCTGTAATTAACCAGACTTTCTATTATATATATATAGATTTTGTATTTATAATCATAATTCATGTATTGTTAATAAGTAATTATTATTTCTTGGTATGATATTTTATTTGTATTTTAATGTCGGGAAAATATTTTTGGTATTTTTAAACTTAATTTCTTATTTTTCCATGGAAGTTCCAAATATAGTAGTATTTGATTTTAGTTAACACATGTAACTCATATGCTGAATAGTCAATACTTCACTCATGGAATCCGTAAAGTCGTAATTACTTTCTCGTATGGAATATTGAAAATCATCAAATTAAGATTCTATGGAAAACAATATTGTTAACTTAAAATAATTTCTTATGTATTCTGAATTCATCCTGATACGTAGAGAGTAATTTTAATTGCTTTTTTTTTTTTTTTTATACATTTTAGGGATTAACTATATTAACTATAACTAAATATTGTACATTATGTATAAATACTGTTTAATGGTACACAACATTACTATAATTAACATTAAACTTCTAGGTATCTATTGATAATAATGATTATAATTGTGTCTTCATAGATATTATTAAAAATATGAAATATTGAACAAAAAATAAATTTTTTTGAAAATATCTTTTTTTTTATCTAGATAAAAATGAAATTATCTTTTATTTTTATCTAGATAAATTTTGTATTATCTATTTCCAGCACTGATAATAAGGTATATCATTTTTGTAGTTTAATTAAAATAATATACACTTTTAAATATTAATATTACTGCATAAAAAACAATACTGTACTAGACAATGAGTCTAACGATAATGTGATTTTGGGAGTTCAAAAATAATTCAAGTCGAAATCAGTCAGAATAAAATTGTTTTTGATAAAGGTTAAATAAGTATCATACCAATTGAATTGAGTTCGAGATGTATGATGTGATCTATTCCATTAATATTTTTTTTTACAAAATAATAAATGTTTTTAATCAACTTTTTAGACCAGTTCAGACTTTAAAAAAATTTCTGTTTATCTCAGAATTAGAATTGAAATATTATCGGTCTAGCTGCATGTCCGTTTTTGAAGACCAAGGCTGGGAGTTAACGAGTTAAAAGTTGAAATTGAGTTAAATCATTAAGTTAATTAATTCATTAATTTTTTTAAAAATTAACTTTTAACTTAATAAGTTACTTTTTTTTAATATAAACGTGTTAAATTTAAGTTAATTTTAATGTAAAGAATAATGCAAATTATTAAATGAAGTTTTTAGTATATTTATAATTAACTATTTTAATATGAATATCCTGTAGACGAAAATAATATGAAAAATAATTTTAATAGTCATTATATGAGTTATATTTTATCATTATATTTTTATAACATTGTTATTGTATAAACACTATACACCCATGAAAATCCTAAGAATATTCTGTGAAAATAGTAAATACCACGAGAGTGAGTGTCGATAGGGGATTAATCACAAAACAACTGTGGTATAATTTCCAATTTAATTTCATTATTCAACTAGCATGTGTTCTGTTCACATCTCGTTAGAATTTATAATATATTGTTATTAGTTTATTACTTTATTAGCTTATTATATTTCTATGAAAGTATATAGTTTTTGATTTTTGATTTTTTGATATCTAGTTAATACTTTTATTTATCATTTTAAATTTCCACAGTAATTTTCTTGAGAGTAAAAAAATAAATATTATGAGTGCAATTTTTTATTTTTGCAAATTAGAAAATTTTAACTTTAAACTAAGTTAAGTTACTTTTTTTTTCAAAGTTAAATTTTAATTTAACGAGTTAACCAAAAAAATATAAGTAACTTTTAATTTAACTTAACTTTATTATTTTAAAATAACTTAACTTAACGAGTTAAAAAAAGTTGTTAAATTGCCCAGCCCTGTTGAAGACATTAATGTCGCAATAGTTATTTAACTGTGCTCTCGCTTAATAATGTGAAAATAATTTTTTAACATATTTTAAAATTATGTTTGAAGAATATGTAAATTGTAATGCTTTTAATTATACTCTTACTGAATTTATACTCGAAGTGCATTTGACAAAAAATTTAATAAAAATATCTAGCTAAGTGTTTTTCTTCTCTGTCTAATTTCAAATTATGTCTATTTATTCGTAAAAAAATCGGCTTAATTTTAGCCACAAATATATATTCATTCGCTTACATATATTTATGATGAGATAAATTTTACCATGCTGTTGAATAAGGATGAGTTTTTTTACATTTTTTTTCTACTTGTTTTTAGTTGAATAGAACTTTTGTCGGTTATATTCGGAATGAAATTAATCGTCATTGTTGAATAGAAAACTAATGATTACACTTTTTGACCATGGATTTGTATTTAATTATATTACTCTTTATTCATTTGCATTCATACAAGGCAATCATGTGTAATACACACTCGCTTGTGTATCAATTATTTATTAAAACATGAATATATATTTATCAGTAAGGTTTTAGAAAAAAAATTATACAATAATTATTCACTAATAAATTAAGCTGAACTTGGTAAATATGAATGTATGTGAAGAATGTATCATTAATAATTATATATTATATGTTATTTTATTTTGATGCCACTGCGTTCTTGGCGTGGTTCGTAATAAATACATCATTATAGTTTCGTAATTGTCAATGGACCGACTAATTTTAACTCATAGAGAATACGAGTAATTAAAATTAATGTTAAATTTATTTAGATTTCTATAATGCATCTCTGAAATTATAAATACATAATACTTATAATACAACATTGGTAAGTTTATAAATAATAACTCGAACTCGATTTTTTTAACAATTTCTAAATCACCAAAGAACTCTGTTCAAAAACGTATTGTGATATGCCATCTGATCAGTGAAACATAAACTGTATCCTTCTGAGATGTGCTAACCTCAAAATACTGACACCGATGAGGCGTCACGTGATTATATAAAAACTGTTTCTTATCCTTGTTCCTGGCTAATTCATAGTACCCGCATTGTACTTGTACACACGCCATGTTACGTTCGCCTTTTTGGTCGCCTCGTTTTTTTAGCGTTTTCGTACTATTATTTTTGTGATTGTTCCACACACTATGTTTGTTCATCATCTATTAACAACGCACGTCGTCGTTTTTTACCATACGCGTGGGCGTTTTTATTATTTTTGTCGCTTTGATATCTTACGTCATCGTTGGTGAACGTATGTACGTGACGTACATCTTTTTTGACTATGCGCCTTTCGACCATATAGTTATTTGCCATCACTCGGTACGTCCATGTTTAGAGTTGTCACGATTGACGGAGCCGTTACTCGCCATCATCAGGTTGGATGCCTCAACTAACCATTGCATTTTTTTTACCACATAACTGGTTCCCAGTCGGTCAATGCTAATTGGTTAATTTTTATTATATTTTTAGCTTGTATATAATTATTATCTATTTATGGTATATTTTAATTGTATTATTCAGTTATTTACACTATTATTAAGTTTTTTATTTGTCTGTTTAGTAACATAAAAGTCTGACAATATATCATTAATTTTTTATACAGTCCACCATATCGTGTTTATCATATTTTATTTTATATACATAGAAGAACAAATACTACCTCTCTGGCATATTTGTTTGCGAGTCTATCCCTGGCAAACCACACAGTTTTATTATATAATCAGGTAT